TTTATCGCCTGGCTGTTGCTTAATCGCCATCGGCTATAAGTGGCTATAAGAAATTGTGTAGCCGGCTATAGAAGCTGTTGGAAATCTTACAGCTGGCTGTAGGTCTATGGTATTTTGGAACACAGATTCTACTGCCATTTTTTACCAGGGAACCTCTCTGTGAATTTACCCCAGACTATAGCGAATATCTCACAAAATTTCAAGTTTCAGTGCCGCTTTACTTTTTCTCAAAAATAGGATATCGCAGGGAAAAATTGGCAACGTGTGATTCAGGTGGGGAAATTCTGGTCAAACTCGCCCTACTCGTAATTTTTCTTGAAATTAAATATTTTTTGAGAGATATGAGGCAACATTTGAAAGTTCCAATGACGTTTTTCTTTAGCAGAGCAGTTTAGGTGTGAAGCTTCCCCCCTGTGCCGGCAAATTTTGGTTAAATTCGCCCAACTCGTAGTTTTTCTCGACAATAAATCTTTTTTGAGGGAAATGTGGCAACATTTTAAAGTTCAAATGACGTTTTTCTGTAGCAGGGCAGTTTAGGTGTGATGCTTCCCACCTGTGCCGGAACTCACTCTTTACTTGCCTCTCGGGTTTCAGACGGACTTGGCCACGATTATCTTCAGTTTTATTCGGCTGAAATTGCCTATTATGAACTTGTTGAGACTTCCCCTTTCCCCTCCTCTGTTAGCCCCATTTGTTTTTATTTTTTGTTTTGTTTCGAGCCGCTGACAGCTAAGGACACGGTAACTTTGTAGATTGAGAGCTCCTAGACAAGGTGACGTAATCGACATCCAATCCCTGTACGTTTCACAGCTTTCTTTTAGACCTTGTCCACTAGTGCTTCGTTAGTCTCCTCTCTCTGAACCTCTAAAACACAAGAAACGCGTCACTTTTGTACAGTTTTTTTAACGCTTTGTGTGTAACTCCGCGATTTAAACCCTAAATCCGATTCTAGCAGATTGCAATTTCCAAGTAGTACTTGTCGACTTTTTTTTTTTTTTTTTTTTTTTTTTTTTTTTTTTTTTTTAATTCCCAGAAAGAGAGAGGTTTAAAAATGTCCCAAAAGCTGTGATTGAGTAATAGAAATGATTATTTGAAGTTTTTATGTGTAGGAGGCTTTTAGTGTGAGGAATTTGACCTGAAATGAGACGTCATGAAAAACTCATCTTTTTTACGGTCTTCAATGATCGGAGTGTAAATGGAGCCCCATTCAGACCCTTCAAAATGTAGAGAAAATAACCCTGTTTTGAAAAAACGAAAAATTAGAAATTAATTGTAAGAGATATCGAAACGAAACGGGTAGGTGGAAGTTTCCATGAACCAATTACTTTTTAGTTTCCAGGCGTCTCATTCAACTCATATAGTCAGCCAGCAACTTTTTTCTTACCGGAATTTATCGCACTGAAAGAAAAGTAATGAGCCGATAGATATACCGTCCGTTCGGGGCTCAAAGGCCGCAACTTCCGGGTGCTGGAGCCGTAGCTCCGATTGCTCCGGATGCTATGCCCGGAACTTTCGGTTTCTGAGCCCGAAACGCGGACAGTTTGTCTACATACCTCGTAATTATAGCTTCCACGGCCGGAGTTTTTTTTCAGTGCGGTGAAACATTTTCGGTTTGATTTATTTTTAAAATAATTAAACCTAGTTGGTCTGTAGATAAGATAACATGAAGCGACAACTTTTTACTTGAACAAAAATCATCTCGTAAATGTATTAAAACCGTTAAAAATTCTTGAGTTTTTGTCCGATCACGTGCTACTGATTTCTTAGATTGACTTTGTTATTCCAAGTGGGTTTTGCTAATTCTTCAAGCTCCCTTTCCGTGAAATTTACTCACTTACTCTTTTTTACTCCCGTGATTGCTCCACCTCTGGATTTGTTTGGCTGTTTCCCGGATTAAAGGAAATCCTAACCGCCCGTCCACTTCGATGCGTTTTGGACAACACTCTCGTTTGACCGGCTGCCAAAATCCTACACTTCACCAGCGCGATGGTGTCGGATTGAAACAAATTATGTTTTCTCATCACAATTCAAACATTTCTATTGTGAATAAAGTTAAATAATAAAACCTCCAACCGGTTCAGTAATCCAATTAAGTGCACAAGAGTTCTTGGAACAAATCTTATAAAATCAGAATACAAAAAATGACAGTCATAATAAAACAGGGTGTCTAGCACCAGGATTTTTCCGATTTTCCCGATTCTATCAGGATTTCAGGTCAATCAGGATTTAATCCCGATTTCATCAGGAGAGGAAAAATCGGGCGTAAAATCAGGATTTGAGAAAAGTCGGCCGTCCGATCGGATTTTTTAAGCTTTCCCATACACTCATGCAGAAATGTTAATTTTTCACCGCATAAAATCAGGATCTGGAAAAATTATGAAATCAGGATTTAGCAGTCAAAAATCAGGAAAAATCAGGATTTCATCAAAATTTTCAAAAATGAAAAAAAACTAGACACCCTGTAAAAATTAGCTTTCGCTTCAACCTCCCAAAAATTCATTATAATTTTTTTTTATTCTTAAAAAAAATATATATATATTTGATTCAGGGAAACTTCCTGTCAGCTGAATTAAAGTGGTACTTTCGTAAGTGTTTTTAGAACATTTTTTACTTGAAAAATTTCCCAGCTCATGATATATTGCGTGCAAAGTTTATTCTAATCAGTTGAAAATTTTTCCGAGTGCAAATGTGGCAACGAATGATTAGCCGCACCGGTAATTTTTAACGCAAATTTGTGTCGCTGGAAGACCCAAGTGTTTTTTTTTTATTTTCCCGAGCCGCTTTGGCTCGGTGGCCCGAACGTTATCTTTCATTTCACTCCGGAAATTTATCAACACAACAGTTTCCCTTTCATGATCCCTGAAAATTTGCGCTTAAAATACATCCCGCGAAGTTCGGTAGGATTACAAGCCTCTAGTTGTTTGTTTTTTGACACGTGTTTTTTTTTTTTTCTCTGGATCTTCCGGGTGTCCCATTTTTCAGTGCAATCGTCGTAGATACATCCCGGTATCCGAATTTTAGGCTTTTACATACCTGTGCCTCAATCATGTAACTATTTTTTTAAGTTTTCGATTTTCGTCAACTTGGATTGTTTATGTGTCGCTAAGTGATTGACTGTGTGACAAATCGTTTATTTGGACGGAAATTACTCGATTAAATTCGGTTCTCATCCCAACAGTTTTTAAATTCGATTTGAAGTTAGTCTGAATCGATACATAATTAACACGTGGATTTAAAATCTCTGCTCTTTTGATCTTTTCCTTCTAGCAGTTTTACCGTGATTTTGTCAGTCACTCTCGGCTTGTTTTTATTTATTTATTTTTTCTTTTTTCAAATTCAATGACCTTCCATTCCAAAATTAGGAGACCTGGAAACTCTCTTTAGGATTATCAAACATCGTTGGAAGGAAGATATGTCGTATCTGTCACAAAATTGTGTTTTGATGGTTGAATGTTATCGATGAGCCAACAATATCGAACATAATGACCTTGGGTTTGGGCCATTTACACTTTTTTATAATCTCCAAGTTTCAACCATCAAAACACAATAATGTGTCGTCGATGAAGGTCTAATTCATCTTTTTAAGACCAAAAAATTTAGGATAATCATTGGTTCGGTTGAAATTATAAGATAGGCTTTTCGAAACAGAATAACTGATTTTTCACGTCACTGGTCAGTCTTGGCCAGCGATTTTCCCTATGAAACGAAAGAAAAAGCTTCGACGACGCATGGATCTCGAGGTGTAACCCATGTTCTCGTGTTTCTTCGAAAATGATCGAATTCGATGCGTTCCTACTGTCCCAGTTGAGCCTTTCTACGGTTGGGCTTTTACTTGTATGGTGTATGCCGTCCGACTTTGAAATTCTCAGCGTGCTTTTCGGTGGCTTCATTCTTGGAATCAATTTAATTTCGTTTCTCATTGCTGAGAGAGGTAATTCAGATTACAGTTAAATCATTTTTTTTTTCTTTAAAAATTTATTGCAAGCAATATTTTTTTTTATAAAAATGTACATGTGCAATTTTAGTCCAAAGAACTGATGTTGCGTGAAATCAGAGGGAAATTTTCCGGAAAAAATGCCCAAGATTCTCCTCGTAGATATATTCTTTCCAAAGGAAAATTAGGCAACACTGAAGTAAAGTTACGCTCTTTCACGAGAGAACGACGAGTTTGCCACAACTTTCTCCTGCCACTGAAAAAACAGTATTACAATCCTAACTTTACTCCTGGCTGATTTTTCTAATTGATAAACCAAACGATAGACAAAGAAGACATAAGGAGTATGGAGCGATCCTGTTGGTTGAAATGAGTGGTTCTTATAGACTAAGGGTTAAAATGATGGACTAACCAAATTGTCTCTCTTGAGTTGCCGTTAGTTANGCTCTTTCACGAGAGAACGACGAGTTTGCCACAACTTTCTCCTGCCACTGAAAAAACAGTATTACAATCCTAACTTTACTCCTGGCTGATTTTGGCGCCAGATATAAGAGTAGTTGTACTAGTCAGACCACACTTTCGGCAATCTCAACCGTACCTCTGACTAGGGCAACTACTCTTATATCTGGCGCCAAAATCAACCAGCAGGCTGATTTTTCTAATTGATAAACCAAACGATAGACAAAGAAGACATAAGGAGTATGGAGCGATCCTGTTGGTTGAAATGAGTGGTTCTTATAGACTAAGGGTTAAAATGATGGACTAACCAAATTGTCTCTCTTGAGTTGCCGTTAGTTAGTCGATTGTTTACCTCCTCTATTCATTGCAACCACCCGCTTCCTCCAATAAGATCCTTCCATATCCTTTTTGTCTGCGTTGTCTATCGCTTTGTATATCAATTTTAACACTCAGCCCGCAGCAGTGTAGTTGAGATTGTGATACTTTCTTTCCGTGCATGCCCGTGCAGTACCATACTCTCCCTGTAAAGGCACTCCACAAGTAAAATACGTCACTCGACACTCGCTATTTCTCTTTGACTAACCTTTTTCCGCTTGTGTGTCACCAGGCAAGATCTCTTCCAAGAACGGCGAAGAGCCGTCGGGTCTGATAACGCGGACGCAGTACAACTACGAAGCCCCGAGCATCCACGAAGAAGGTCGCTCGGAGACGACGACCCAAACCACAACCCTGGGCAACCGGCGCCTCTCGACCGGGCCCCAGATCACGGAAGCCATCGCGGACAGCGAGGAATCCCGGCGCAGCTCCAAACGCTACGTCTCCAGCCGCTCTTCCTCCGGCACGAAGATCACGGAGATCCTCGAGAACGGCACCGACTCGCGGAGGTCGTCCACCCACGAGGAGACGGACGGGAAACTCAACGGGATCCTCAAGAAGTCGGGGAGCGGCAAGTTCAACGTCGCGTCCTCCACGGTCGTCACCACCTCCACGTCGGAGACGGTCACCAATGGAGACTCGTCCAGGAAGTCGTCGGTCGATGCAGAGAGGAGGAAGCCGTCGTTGGTCCGCGGTGACTCCATCAAGGCACTCCAGCACAAGTTCCAGCAAGCCACCGGTGAGTATCCTTGCTGCTTTACACTTCTTTTTTGGGTCTTGGTGTGTGGGGAAAATTTAAAAGATAGTAGAGAAAGGTTTATTCCAGAGACAAGAGACCCGCCACTGGCCTCTTGGCGACAGGTGGAAGCTTCTACTTTTGGGGATTTAACATTTCCTCATGGACAATTGGATTGCATTTTGCAAAAAGGAACCACTAGCATTGCAATGTTGCTAAGATTGTGCAACTTCTTTTGTCTTGGAGGAAAAACCCGATCATCCAATAATAGTTTCTATTTTACTCGCTAAAAGCTGTAAATTTAAGACAAAAATTACCATCTAAATTTCATAGTTTTTCACGATTTCCGCAATTTTATTGCAGAAGATGAAGTTGCACAATCTTAGCATCATTGCAATGCTAGTGGTTCCTTTTTGCAAAATGCAATCCAATTATAAGGGGGCAACAGTCATAACCCTTTTTTCAGCCGTTGACCTACTACCTACGTGGTAGATGATGAGCTTCGGGTGACGTCATGAGCCAAACAGTTTCCCGAACTTTGGTTTGTTTGCAAAACGAAACTCTCAACACGTTGTTAACCATCGACCAAGTAGGCAGGTCAGCAGTTGAATGTTGAAGTCCCGAAAATAAAAGCTTCCACCATTGCCAAAATACGAGTAGAGGGTCTCTTGTTTCTGGAATATTCATTCAGGCTCACTTGCGGCCTTCGCACTGATCTTTTGAATTTTAGCTAATCTTAAATATACAATTTCCGAAACATGATTATTTGACCAGCCTAGTTGGCCTATTTCTGTTGAGGATAAGTTCTTAGGCGATGAAAATACAATGTTATTGTCATTTTTGGAGATTACCGCAACCTGCAAAAGCATCTCGGTCAAATTATACTGCAACACTCCGTGGATTAGCAGTTGCAGGCTGCGTAACCACAACCACCAGACAACCACTCGTTTTGATGAAATTTTGAGCCATGTTTGCTCTAATCAAGGCACACGTCAGTGTTTGAACCATTTCAAGATTTATCAAGTTTGATCTAAAAAAAAATTGTCAAAGCCATACAAAATAAAATTATACTTTTGTGCCTCTTTCCTTTCGTTACACCCCCACAACATTGCATTAGTTGCAAATTGTAGGAATTTTTTAAGTTTTACTTCTTATTTCTCATTCATCGCTTTCCTTTCATTTCATAAAGATTAAATTGCATTCCTTTCATTGGGAAGGGGATGAAAAACCTTAGTTCAAATCTCAAGTTCATCGAGTAACCTTGTTCAAGACCTCCCAGCTCTTACGGCAAGATTCGAACCCAGGTCACTTGGCTAAAAGTCAATTATTCCATTCACCACTTCATTAAGCTCTTTCATCACCTTTTAGCTTTGTCTTATTGTTTCTGAACATTAGCCTGCAGTTACTTTTGAGCTGTCCTCCTCCATTATATTGCACAAAACGAGAAGCATACATAGTAAGTTCTGAATGGCCTCCGTGTAGGTTTCCCACTCGCAGAATACTGTAAAGATTGATGATAAAAAATTCGATGGAAACTATGAGAATTTGTCGGGTATTTTATCTAAATTGTGACCCCTTGTAGATACAATTTTAATGTGCTGCGATGAGAACTGGTCGTCAATTTTTTTTCTCCGAGTCAATCATTTCCATTTCACAATTTAAGTTTTTTAAGTTATCCACTTGGATCAGTTAAAGTCGTGACCCTGTGTTGATTCATGCAAAAAAATATGAGAAATTATCGTCACTAAGACTTTTAGGCCGTATAAGTTCCGTCGGTTAGGTAACCGACTTCCCATTTTACGGTCTGAAAGTCTCAGTGATGATAATGTCTTATTATTTTTTGCATGAATCTCATGCAAATACACAAATAAGACGATTCTCAATTGAAATCTTGTTCGTTCTCGATTAATTTGTCTCATTGCCTTGAAAATTTTTGAAAAACAAAACTGGCAACCCTATACTCCGGGCTGAGTGTTGAAATTGATAGACAAAGCTATAGACAAGGAAGACAAAAAGGATTTGGAGGGCTCCTATTGGTGGAAGCGCGGGTGATTGCAATGGACAAAGGAGGTTAGTTAGACTAACTAACGGCAATCCACGAGAGACCCTTTAGTTATTCCATCATTTTCTCTCTTAATCTATAGGAACCAACTATTTCAACCAATAGGATTGTTCAATACTCCCTTCGTCTTCTTTGTCTATCACTTAGTCTATCAATTTCAATAATCAGTCCGTTGTTTCCATTATCATGAAAACGCCAATGACCGTGGATTCTCTTTGAGAGGTTGTTCCATCAGTTCTCATCGCAACTATTTTGTAGTTTTCTGAGTTAGTCATTGGTACTTGGGTGGTTTTGGTGTACACTTGAGTCCTGTCATGTATGATTTTGTTTATATTTTTCATCCGGCTCACGGCGGCACGCCGCTTCTTCCCTCCGACGTAACCAACAGAGAAATCTGTGCGGTGTATGAGAAGGTCCTCCCGTGCAGGTCTATTCCACCGCTCCTCCAGTTTCGAGGACTGTTTGGCTTTTTTTACCCGCCTTGAGTCTCAAGCTCTAAGTAAGTGCTCCGAAGGAGCCGCACATATCCACTCAGAAAACATCTTCCGCTCTCTGGGGATTTCCTTCTCTGTGCCTGGGCTGTCTCTATCGGGGACAAAATGTTTTACCTAGAGGCTCCGCAATAGTCATCCTAGAGGAGTAGCTGTTACTCTAGGAATTCAACTAATTTCCCATACGGGCAGCAGGCCGATAATTTAAATTGATAGACAAAGTTATAGACAAAGAACACAAAAGTGATATGGAGGGATCCTATCGGCGGAAGCGGGTGGTTGCAATGGACAAAGGCAAAAGGCAATCGACATTCTAAGGGCAACCCACGAGAAACCTGACAGTTAGTCCATCATTTTCTCCTTTAGTCTATAAGAACCACACATTTTTACCTACAGGATCGCTCCATACTCCCTATGTCTTCTTTGTCTATAGTTTTGTCTATCAATTTCGACAATCAGCCTGCAGCCAGAATCACGCTCATCCAATGATGATCGATGAATGATCCTTGGAGATGGTTTTCTCGGATGGGTCACTAAAACTTGTGTTTGTTAACACAGATGATACAAATGTGATTAGATTATAGTAGATATCGAATATAATGACATCTGAAATAACGACCTATCGGGCATAACGACGCAATTTGACCGGTCCCGGCACTACAGTGTGGTTGACTCCGTCGGCATGGAATGCATTTTAGCGCCTACGAGACCGAGTGAATACTTCACGCATTGCGCCAAAGAGTACGGTCAGCTCGGTCGGCTTGAGACGCATATTAGCGCCTACAATTACTGTATGAATGTGTCCGCAAGTCAAAGTTCCCTTATGGTTTAGTGACCCATCGTGTCCTATCCGTCAAAAATATCATTCAATGCGTTGCTTATCTTCAGCATTTGGGAAAACTAGTGTTGAATCCTGAGAGTAACTCTAGCAATACTCTACGTGCGAAGTCCTCAGGATATTTTGTCTCTGGTTTCTATCATCAATCTGTCCAATCGGTGGTGAACATTGCATCTTGTACCTTCTACCACATAAGGTGATGTTCTTTGATTCATGAACACCTTGGCACCTCTTACTACTCCCAGCACACCAATGAAAAATTGCACTTTATACCTCTCGGTGGGATTTACTTTGGTTTCATTTCTTACCCGTAAACGAGGAGAATCTCTTTCTCTGAGGAGAGTAGTCTGTTTTTAAAGTTCTGTATGATATTCGCAATGCCTATCTTTTCTAACGTGGTATAATCTTCTCTGTTGTACTTTTTTTGTATTTTCATTCTTTTGAATTCCTAAACTGAGCCCTCTAAAAATAATTTTTATATTGTTAATGGAACTGAGTATTTTTTTAACTGTTTCCATGTATTTTTCTCTTTTGATAAACTTGCATCTCGCATTGTTTCTTCTGTATTTAAATGTGCGTATTCAGTCCTCTGTTGTATTTATATACTTCTCTGTAGCATGCCGAAATATTTTTAATGAAAACGAAACTAGTCACAATTCAATTCAATTATCATGAATGTGTGCATGCCATCTATCTATGTTTAAAGCACTGAATGCGTTGTTCCATAGATATACCCTAAATCATAAGTTTGCATTTGACAGTATTTTAGGTGTCTATCGATACCAATGTCCCACAGTTTTACTATCACCCGACCAGCAACAAACGTTATGAAAAGAATGATCTGCATATTATACCTACTATTTTTTGTAAATGCATCAATGTTTTTTACTCGTGATTTGGTTACAGCATAACTTTATCCTAATAGTATTTTACTTTTTCGATTGTTTCTCACAAGTCGCAAACTTTACAGAAATTATCTGGGCAAATTGAGTTTTCGAACAATTTCTTTAGAAAATCGAATATTTTTTGGCAAACAGTTCGAAACTGGAGGGGAGAGGAATTTCATCGGTTTAGTGTCACATTTTCTGAGCTTTCACAGTATGATTTAAGTTCATTCATTCATCTTCCTGTCATCTTTGATGCTTTGCAAGAAGCTCGTCACTAACTGCAATTTTGTATCACCAAACTCAAACTTAGCCTTCCGAGAAATATCTTTTATCTGCCTTCACATTTTGTAATGTGCCCTCCATGTACTGTTTTAAATTATTTGCTTCCTCCAAGAAAAAAAAACGCAAAATTAACCTATCAATGTACTGGTGCCAGTGACTCGAAGGAAGCATATTGATTCTCAGTTGAGTCAAAGCGATAACACCGTCCTAAAATTTTTAGCCCGTAAAAATACGGTACTTAATGCAATTTATAGATTGGCGAGTGAATGATAATCTTCTTGCACAACATTACATTTTTTTTAAACATAAGTTTTTATTGTTTTTATGCGGTTTTTGGTGTAATCTGGATGAAGAACTGTATCTTAGACAACAGTATAGCGCTTACTTTATCCAATGGTCCATCTTAGCTGGTTTTTCGAAGTTTTGCCATCAAAATTTCCCTCTTTCCAAAATTCACCTGAAGTAGGTCTCTCAAACTCAATAATCCTACCATTTTTCTCTGCCGTGTGTATTTGGGCTTTCCCTTAGTGCTATATATATGTATAAAAGCCGCTTTTATAGTGCTCTCTGGCGCTCTGCGACATATAGCCGTCCTAGTCACCTATCTGCCCACGACCCTCCAGGGAGTTGGCACTCCTCCTCTTCTCATTTCATCAGAAAATATAAACATTTTCATCACTCCTCTCTCATTTAGTGTGTTATATTATTCTTAAAATAACTGATTTGTTTTTTTTCGGGTGCAGTCTCTTCCAGTTTGAAACAAAACTCAGGAGCCAGTGTCAGGAACCGTTCCTCGTCGAACTCGCTGGATTCCTCGACGAGAACTACGACGAAAACGTCTCAGCCGGTGGAATCGAGTCAAAACGAAACGAGCGTGAAAACGAGTAGTTACTCTGTGAAATCCAAGACTGAGAGCACGTCGAGCGGACCTACCTCTTTCCTAGACAACAAATCTAAAGTCACTGGTGTTCAAGATATCCTCGAGAGGATGAGGAACGCTGATCTCGGTAAGTTCCTCTTTCACCACTTTGTTTCTGCTTTATTTGCCTCGTAAAAATGACAAGTCGGCACCTAAATTTTGAAAAAATGCATCTTGATCATAGCGTTTCAAAATCACCGTTCATATTTGTTTTAAAAACAAATAATAATAAAAAAAAAACTTTTTAAAGAAGCTTATAAAAAAAAGCCTTTTTGTGCCCCTGTTTTGGGGAAACTCAGGGGATTTCGTTCAAATGTGGCTTGAACGAAACCTTATGATGAGACATTCCTCCAATGATCGTTTTCGCATTACAGCGTTTCAAAATTTACATTTTTTACCACTAGAAAGTGCTAATATGTGTATATTGAGGTTCCTCGGTTGAAAAAACAACTTAAATTGACTCCTTCTATTTTCTGAGGAACAGAGATATGATCTGATATTACTGCACTTCCGAAAATAATGGACCAATCGGGCGGATAGCATTTTGCAATCGGGACCTACAATTTCTGGCTCATCGGTAAAAACACTAATATGCACAGGGAAATGAATGGAACATTCGTTGTCTCTGAACTGAAACAGAAATCGTAATTCCTAATTGCAAAATTTAGCCCAATCAGTTATTTTCTTCAATGGCGGAACTTTAAAATATTGGCATATTTTTATTGTAAAAAATGCATACTTCGGAAAGCTTCATTGCAACGGCGAACTTTGAAGACGAACGAAAACTTTTATGGGACAGCTGCCTCACCATAAGGTATTGTTTAGACTACACTTGAACGTATTACCTGAGTACCCAAAGGGCCTTTTTTTTGGCAGGCTCTCTTGAAAAACATTAAAAAAACAGTCTAATGAATCACTGAAAAAAGAGGTTTGGTCCCATGAACCGAGCGTTCGGTGTTCCATACCATCCCAACTATTCGGTTTGTCAAACTGAACTTTCGGTTTGTGTAACCGAATCTCCGATTCATATGATCGAACTTCATTCGTCAGTTCACTTTTTGTGAAGTTCGTAACACGAACCGATAGTTCGGTTTGACGAACCGGAAATTTGGTTTGACGAACCGGAAATTTAGTTTGAAAAACCGAATTAGTTGGGATGATATGAAACTCCGAACTTTGGTTCATACGACCGAACTTTTTTTTTTTCAGTGAAGGTACCCAATTACCCTGCTGGCAGAGAGACCAATGCCTCGTTTTCTCCAACTGTTATAATTATTGGTTTTAATTTTTTTCTTGGTACTTTTAACAGCGTCCGATGTCACAGAGTCGACAGAGGACCAGGAAGCCCGTTCCTTGCTCAACAAATTCCTCGGGGCGTCGGTCATCCTGCAGGGCATGGAGGCCGGCATGAAGAGCATCAACGGCCGATCCCCGCAGTCCCTCACGACCAACAGCGCAACCCTAGTCAACCGCGTCGAGAAACAGAGAATGGTGAGTCCGAATATCATCATTTTCCCGCAATTTTCCTCTTTCCCATGTGGATTGTATTCGATAGTGGTTCGATGTATCGTTTAGAACATAACCTCCAGCAAAAATGTTAGTATTTAATAAGTTGGAATAGCTAAAAAGGAGAAAATTTCTAACAATGGACCACTAGACAAGGTACGAATTTAAGCATTCTGATACATGTTTCTTACCCAAAATTTCACGTAAAGCACGATTTGCGCAACGAAAACTAATGAAACAAAATCCAAACGAAGATATTAACATTTTTATTTCACATTGGTTCCGAGGAATTTGAACTGCCCGCTCACAAGAAACTCAAAGCTCTACGTGAGCCAAATCGCGCACTACAACGGTTTCAACAAACTTCTCAATCTAGTAATGTTCATTTCCCACCATGTGTTGTTCAAACTGTAAAAAATTTGCTGCAGCTGAGCCAAAGTGTCAAGATTGAGGTTGCCAGACTTTTATATCGCAGAGACTGTCATGATAATTTTTAGCGCACGATGTGAATCACGTTGAGCATTGAGTTTTCATGAGCGGGTGGTTTGAATTCACGCATCAAGAATCATTAAAAATCTTTGGAAGGAGTTGATTTCGGTAATTTTCGTTGTGCGCGTCGTATTCTACGTAAAATATTAATTACGAAACATGTATCAGAATGCTGAAATTTGTACCTTGTCTAGTAGCCCATTTCCTTTGATCCCTGATAGGTTGAAACTTTTACTCTCGGGGACTCAATCGTCTAGACAATGGAGCTTTTGTCTATCGCAGGGATTTGCGATTTAATCAATTTTTTCTTGAAATTTTGCAAGGAACAGTACTGCACTCCATTGGTTTCCTCTAATCAAACTTCCAAGCTCAAAAAAAGCTCTATAAGGTCAAGATGTAGTGGGGAATTCCCTCTTATGTAACTTGAACTTTGAGAGCCTTTTTTGAGCTTGGGAGTTTGTGTCAGAGAAGGCAAGAGCGCACTATCGTGTTTCTTGCGAAGTTTTATGTATGAAGAAGCACTGAAAACATGGCCCCGGAAAGTTTTTCCAAAGTTCGACGAAAGTCAGCGTATTTTTAAAGTATTGGAAATTTTGTTCTAAAGTTAGGGAATGTTAGGGGGTTTGAAAATTTTGGGTGTTAGGGTACTTAATCGTCCCTGAAATTCCCTTACTTTCACGGGTAATCAAAAGGAAATCCAGTGAACTTTTTGTTAGAAAAGCCCACGAATTGTCTAATACGCATGCAATTTTTGAGTGGATATTTTACAACGTTGAAATGTTGCTAGCTCTTTGACCAGCGAGCTGATTATTGATATTGATCGACAAAGTCGTAGGTAAAGAGAGAATAGAGCCATCCTATCGGTGGATCTTTGTCTATCGCTTTGTCTATCAATTTTAATAATCAGCCCGCGGGAAACAACAATCAGTGAGTTTCTTTTGGCAAGCTTCACTCGTGGAGAAAACTGACGGTAATGTTCAATTAAAGGGATCGGAGGACAAGGTGCATAAGTGCAGTTTTTGCTATTTCGAGGAAAACGTGTTTGAAGTTTCAAATCACATGGATCATAATGGCAGAAAGAAAGTTCAAATTGACTTTTCGATGCTTAAAAATTGAAATTCGGGAGCGAATTTTTCACAGAATATGTATCGAGACTAGTTTTTCCTTAAATCATTAATAACTGAATTTTTTCAAAAACTGCACTTGTGCGCCTTGCCCTCCAAGCCCTTCAATTTTCCTCACCGTCGAGGAATGACTTCATTCTCTATTTTTTGACAGTGGGGCGAAATTTGTCGACACAAGTCAACGCTCGGTTGCAAAATTGCTTTGCGCGGCTCAGTTCTGCCATTCGTTTTTCGATACTTCGGTTTGCAGTTTTAACTCGGCGAAAAAACCGTCAACGTGATTGCATCATTGCGATTAGTGCAACCTTGTCGCTTGAACACCTGGCCGGCTAAAATTAGGGACGCTCCAACGGCAATGCATTCTGCAACTAATGGCTTTCAATTGGGCCAGATTTCCGATTAGCACTGCGTCGCTTTGGGCAGTGGCGTGGCGTGGCGTGTTTTGCGATGTATCGATTGATTTGCCTTTTAAACCTATTGGAATGAATCGATAAACAGGGTGCTCGCAACGAACACTTGGATAATCGATTCTTTATCGTAGCTTTAATGGGAAAATATCGATAATCGATCATTCTCGCCTCGCCTTTAGCCTCGGGCCGTTCTCAAAAGGCTCGTCTTGTGCTCAGGCCATAGCTCTCAAGGCTTAAGTCAATGTGACGTTGTGTTTTTCTTCTATTGAAACGAGCTTAGGGACTCAAGCACTATATGTTACCCCCTAACGAGAAGAGCGGGTAGGTCTGCATTACCTTAAAAAGGGTTTCAAAACCAGTGTTATTTTATTTTATATTCGTTTTTTTCGGATGGGACAAGGGCACCCAGTGCTATGAAATAACCCGGCAGGGATGGCTTTCAAGGCAGCTGCACAAGTCGGCGGCTAACGTTATTGATGCAACTATCCGTCAAAGGACTTTAGCTCGGGATTATTTCGGCTTTTTTTATGCGATTTTTTTGTAGGTAGTAATTTTGATTAACAGATAGTTTTGCCGAGGTGGAAAATGAATTTTAATTCTATAGAATTGGCCGTACACTATAAATAATAAATATTCATGATCCAAGGAAAGACATATCTATTCGCTTTGATTCATTAGGTGAATAAGAGGGGCGCTCATTTGTTACGTAATAAGTCTAAAATAGAAAGTGCTTTGGATCCCCATGTCTTGAAGGAGAGAAAGAGTGTCTTTCCGTATTTTACTTTTTTGGAGGAGGATAGATTATCCCCTTCTTTCATGATTATATTCGGTTGAATTTTATTTATGCTCCGAAAATTTCGTTGAAATTGTCCGCTAATCCTGGTAAAACTGGCAAGTGGGAGGGTAGGCCAATAGAATTTTGCATCTTGAGCTTACATTTAAAACACTGCCTTCAGTGCTTTCAAACACTGAGGTCAATACACTCTTTTACTCCCATTGCCTTCAGGCACTCAGGTCAGTGTGCTTAGATCTGCTCTGATGGCAAGTGCGATTGACCTTACCACGTACCTTGTTAACAAGGGAAGTTTCTCTTCAAAAACGGGGTAAACTTTTTTTGAAACACCACATACGCGGTTATTGAGATTGCTTTTTCTGTAGTTTCAGGATTTTTGTACTATGTTAGTAATGAAAATTCACGAACAATTTTGATAAAAAATCAAATTCACAATAAGCTGGGATAATCTTGCCACCGACGCGACGTGCAAATTTTTAAGGGTGGCTTAAAAAAGCTGCGAGCAGGGTTTTTTAAATCGTATCATAACCTCCTCATTACCCGGGCTTAATTGTGATTTATGGATTCCACACGATCATTAGGTGTTCGTCGCTCATTCGCGCGGGGGGGTTGGGGTGGGGGATATTATAATAAATATATCAGAGGGCGAATATCATAAAATCTGAGCGGGCAAGCGGCCAAAAATCGGAGTGATTATTCTGAGGACTGTTTTAGATTATTTTGTTTGTTTAGGTGTTGAGGGCGACCTTGAACCGCGAACATGGTGCTTCGCGAGGAGCTCAGTCTGCGAATTTGTAGACTTGTAAAGATGAATGTCCGAACGACAAGCCATTATTACAAGATTCGGTACTAGATAGTGCATTCTCTCTGGCTCTTGTTTTATTTTCAACTCGTGTGCCACAATTTGCTCGCAGCCATTCAGAGACAAAGTATTTCGGCAACTTTGTATGAACACTGAAAATAAATTCTCGGCGTTTTTACCAAGGTCCGTAGGTACCTTTACCATCTCACTTTTTTTACCAATTATTGGTAATTTTACCAAGATGGACTGGTAAGCTTACCTAAAAACCGGTATTTTTACTGTTTTTTTCAGGTAAGAATACCACTTTTATTGGTAATCAATGCCCGGTAACTTTGCCATTTTATCTCGGTAATTCTACCACAGTCGATAAAAAATATTGGCGTTTTTACCAAGGTCCAGTAAAATTACCGAGAAAGTTCGATATTTTTACCGAGATTTCTCGGTAAAATTACCAATTCCATAAATGGTAATTTTACCACGAAAAAACTGGGATCAAATAGAACCCTGAATTCTTGGTAATTTTACCATTTTCTTAGTAAATACACCGAGATTTTTTTTTCAGTGAATGGCTTCCTACTGCACAGGTTATTTTATGCCTTTCATTTTTAAGAATGGACCACTAGACAAGATTCAAAAAGCAGTCTGATATGAGCTCTCTTCAAAGTTTCATATAGAACACGATTTGCACCACCAAAAAGACCCAAATTGACCCCCAAACAAGAAATTACCGTTTTTATTTAGCACAAGGTACTACAAATTTGAGTTTTCCACATTTGTTGCTTCTGTTGTAAAATATGTTTTTAGACAGACTCTAACAGAAATTCACCAGTTGGCTGATTATTGAAATCGATAGACAAAGTTATAACGATAGAAATGGAGGGATCCAATAATTGGTGGAAGCGATTGGTTGCAATGGACAGAGGAGGTTAGTTACAGACTAACTAATGGCAACCCACGAGAGACCCTACAGTTAGTCCATCATTGTCTCCCTCTCTCTATAAGAAGCTCTTGTTTTAACCAATAGGATTGTTCCATTTTCTCTTTGTTCTCCTAGTCTATCACTTTGTCTATCAATTCCAACATTCAAGCATCTAGTGGCATACTTGGACGGAGAAAAAGGCTCGAAATATTATTCCTCCGATAAGGCTCAATGTTCACAGAATAACGTTTAGCAACTACATATTTTCACGTTCAAAATGTGTGTTTCGACCTAATATTTATTCCAACTTGGATATTCATCAGGAGAAAATGTATGAATAGTTGAATTCAAGACTACTCTCAGTTTTCCCCCCAAAACGGGACTTATTGGGGCTTTTGGAGCTTATTGGAGATAGACCGCAGAATTGCATAAGAAAATAAGTAATATC